TGTACAGTAAGAAAGTTATTTCCCTTAACCAGGAAATTAACGTTCTTAGAATTGACAAGACAGTTGACCCTGAGAGGTCAGCTAAATATCTACAGTGGATCTAAAATATGAATAATTAATTATAACTAGTTATGGTTAGTTATTCATGTTTCACATGAGTTGATTCGTTACAACACATTACCATCAACCTTAGGACATCCAGCCTTCATAAGATGCTTCTACCATATACCTCATTTATATCCATATACCATATACCATTACTCATACAGCCACTCCAAAAAGGCCACACAGTGACAAAGGCGTGTCAAACACCTTCACGTGACCATACGCAAAGAGGTACACAACACTACCTCAGTACGTTACATCATGTCAAATGCCTACAAATGGCACCTCTGCAACCCGCACACATACAAGTACAAAAAACTAAAGCTTCACTACCAATCTACATTACAGTGATTTTTAACCTTATGGCCTAAAACAGCACACCCAAAGTTCACAGCTATGCTTCTTACTAGTGGCCACACACTATAAAACTTCAATTTGCACATTGAAAAACAATAAAGGCTGTTCCATGACCAAGTAATTGTGTTACTACTTTCTTCTATGACAACTCACTATTAATTTGACAAAGCAAAGCAAACTTTACTTCACTTCAGCTGTTTTAAAGAACTCACTACTTTGCTTTCTAACAACATGCCATCTCACATTTCTACCATACCATATGATTCATCTAAAACCCATATAGGCTACTTCAACTACAAGTACACCTTACCCAACTAATTCTCAAGACACATCATATCAACATTACACAGCCAGCTCATTTCTTTTCACCCACACATACAGTTCAGTTCTTACTGAAGGCCAAGAGCCAATGCTTCCCAGTGTGGTGCTGTCAGCCTCATAAAGACGCTGTCACTGACACCAGACTGTCAAAGCATGAAAACAATTACAATTACAGCTCCACATGACTACAGGCAACAAACAGTGCTGGAAAAAAAACACATCCTTGCTTAAAAGCTACCTTATACAGTTGGACTGCATCATCTTTCAAGCTACTATGCACCCATCTCGTAACATAAATATAACCCTTCATCAACCAGCACGTCTACTTTTAATTCTCATAAGCACTACGTGCTTTGCCTATGCTTTGTACCCTGCATGGGCCAATTGCATATTCAAAGAGTCCAGCCTCTTTCATGCTTTGCAATGATTGGCCTTCAGCTTCAAACGCTCATACTTTCTAGCTCCGGTTCAGAATAACACAAACACATAAAACAAGGAGAGTCAGTCCCTTTGGATCTACACCTAACGGACACAGTGTCTCTATAATGTTGATCAAATATCCAATCGGGGCACAATTGAGCAGCAGTCACCTCACATAAACACTTACTGCTGGAAATGCACTGAGACCTGAGAGCATTTGTTACCCTAAAGCAGAGGATAATTGTAATCTTCCGTTAAGCGCCTTTACAATATGGAGCTGATTGCTGCAAGATAGCAACATGGTCATTTGATAATCATTCCTGTTTAGTTGCCGCCTACGTGAGACGTGGCTGTTTGGGGAAGGCCAAAAGAAGGGGGGAAAAACGCTTTCCGGAAAGCAAAACACCTGCAAACTCAACGGAAGACGTAACCGCAGTCTGCAAGATGCCTTAGTAAATAGCGTGAGAGGTTAGAGGATGAGTAATGTCCATTAGCGGTGTAAACAAGTGTAAATATAGCAGTGTGCTTACGTCCGACGCAGATGCTTTTAATTACGACGCTGCTTAATGGGATGCTCTGTGTGACAAAACATGCCAATACTGCTGAAATGCGTGCAACGTGCAAGATCCATGTCATTTTTTATGCTTTATTTTATTGCTTTAGCCAAAACATTTCTGTCATCGCCAGCTCGCTTCATTTAAAGCACTGTCTGCTAATTCAAGTCCAAAAAAAGCAAAACAAAAAAACATTTGAATTAATGCTAAGTTTTTGCCTCTTTGGATACTACGCTGTTTGGCACCTTCTGTGCCAATCTGCTGCTATAAAGGCCTACTTTTACCAGGTTTACTGGGTTCACTTAACTGCAGTATTTTAATAACTACTCTTTAACTGATACCCTTGTAAAGGTCATATACAGTCAGGTCCATATATATTTGGATACAGACACAATTTTGATTATTTTACACATTATTTTTTTATTATAACATATTCAAGTTACAGTTAAAGTGCACACTGAGCTTTCATTTGAAGGTATTCTCATTAAAATTGGATGAAAGGTTAAGGAATTATAGCTCTTTAATATGTACCTTCCCCTTTTTCAAGGGACCATAAGTAATTGGACAATTCACTCAAAAGCCGTTTCATGGACAGGCATGGCCTATTCTTTCGTTATTTCTACATCAATCAAGCAGGTAAAAGGTCTGGAGTTCATTCCAAGTGTGCCATTTGCATTTGGAAGCTGTTGCTGTGAACCCACATCATACAGTCAAAGGAGCGCTCCATACAAGTGAAACAGACAATTAGCCTTTTTCACAAAAATCGGAAATTATGTCAGCGCAGGGTAAAGTTAGTTCTGTTACAGGTCTGCGCCTATTATATTAGTATGCCCTTTTGTCAAATAATGCTTCTTACCTTTTCTGTTTTCCAAGTTGTTGTTATATAATCTATAAAGAAATAACATTTTACTTGTTTGTAACTTATATGGCCACTCAGACCACTGACTCGTGAGATAATACACCTCAACATAGTGCCGGATGGTTTCTATTCTCCATCTCAGACATCCCTTGTTATATAGTCTTTGATCTCCGATACATTTGAACGTATTATCTCAATTTACTCAGTCATTTCCCTCGAATTACCACATCATGATAAATTACTTAAACATTTATGTCCAGATGCACATTTTTCCAAGAATACATTAAACAATTCTCAGTCCGGTTGAAGCATATTAAACTCAACACAACAACGTAATCCCGATAGAATAGGAACAAAGGCATGAACCCGAGTCATCTCTTGTTTAATATGTATTTGCCAGGGCAGATTATACAACGTACATTTATGCCATCACGTTAGTAATGCAAAGGAGAGCAAGTAGAAAATACAATATTACTTTAATAATAATAATAATAATAGCGGGGAAAAAACCACTTGGAGAGTCATAATGCACAGCCAGCACCAAATGGACAGAACCGGCAAAACAAACTGAATTATAATTGCCACCACTTAGATTTAAACAAACTTGAATTTGTGATGACCCAAGCTGACCAAACAGTTAATTGTGAAATGTTTGCGCTTTGTAGAGTAAAGTACCAGCAGTTCAAGCATTTTCATAATATCTCATTTGTAAAAAAAGATTTTGATACTCGAACTCATTCTTGTTAAGTACAGCCGCAGTTAAATGCAAGCACCAGTCCGAAAGCCAGAAACATGGAAGTGTGAAAAGGGCTAATTGTTAGGCTTCAAAAGCAAAACAAAACCATCAGAGAGGTAGCAGGAACATTAGGAGTGGCCGAATCAACAGTTTGGTGCATTCTGAGAAAAAAAGAACGCACTGGTGAGCTCAGCAACATAAAAAGCCTTGGACATCCACAGAGGGAAACAGTGGATGAGCAGAGAATCCTCGCCATGGTAAACAAAAACCCTTTCACAACATTCAGCCAAGAGAAGAACACTCTCCAGGAGGTAGACGTGCCACTGTCAAAGTCTACAATCAAGAGAAGACTTCACGAGAGCAAATACAGAGGGTTCACCACAAGGTGCAAACAAGGCCTGATTAGACTTTGCCAAAAAACATCTAAAGAAGCCAGACCACTTCTGGAAAAGCATTCTTTGGATGGCTCAAATTAAGATCTACCTGTACCAGAATGACGGGAAGAAAAAAGTATGGTGAAGGCTTGGAACGGCTCATGATCCAAAGCATACAACATCATGTGTCAAGGCACGTGCGTGCATGGCCTCCAGTGGCACTGGGTTACTGATGTTTAGTGATGATGTGACAGAGGACAGGGATATACTCTCCGCCCAGATTCAGTCAAATGCAGCAAAGTTGATTGGGCGGCGCTTGATAGTACAAATGGGCGATGATCCAAAACATACAGCAAAAGCAACCCAGGCGTTTTTGAAGGTAAGAAAGTGGATATTGTGCAATGGCCAAGTCGATCTCCTGATCTCAACCCAATTGAGCATGCATTTCACTTACTGAAGACAAAACTACAGGCAGAAAGACCCACAAACAAACAATAACTAAAGTCAGCTGCAGTAAAGGCCTGGCAAAGCATCACAAAGGAGGAAACCCAGTCTCTGGTGATGTCCATGAGTTCCAGACTTAAGGCAGTCATTGCCTGCAAAGGATTCTTAACAAAATATTACAAATGAAAATTTTATTTATGATTATATTTATTTGTCCAATTACATTTGAACCTCTGAAAATGGGGGGACTGTGTATAAAAATGGTTGTCATTCCTATGCATTTTATGTTACATTTTTGTTCAACCCCTTGAATTAAAGCTTAAATAAAATTTTATTGTGATTGTTTTATTTTTCATTCTGTTCTGGTGGCATACAGAGCCAAAATTATGAAAACTGTGTTAGTGTCTAAATATATATATATGAACCTGGCTGTAGGTCTACATTAACTATCAATTAATTCATAAAAACATCATGCAAGTGTACTGATTGAAACCACTGGCCTATGTTAAAACCATGTTAAATATTCACTGCTAAATCTACAGACAATTCTTGAATAATATGGAATTTGGAAATGGAAAACGCATAGAAACCCTGATTTGAGGTAAGCCCAAGTAAAATGCTCTAAAGAGCGTGCGAGAGCCGCCTATAAATTGTCACTTCTAATTAAACGACATGTTAATAGCAGTTATATTGACATTTCCATCTTCGTATGCAAATTAAAGTAGTTATCGAAGAGGAAATGAAAATAAGTATGACAGATAACGCTTCTGGACACATGCGCTTGTAAAGTCGCTCGTTTGGGTGCTACGAGACCCCTGTCTGCTTCTCACCCGGTTTAGCAGGTCGATCTCTTCCTTCAGCTTAACGATCAGCTCGTCCTTGTCCTGGTGGGCTTTCAACAGGTGACTGTTCTCCTGCCTCTCCGCGGCCAGCTCCTGTGAAAGTGCAATTCCATCAGATCCAAAGCCTTAAGCGCAATTACAATAGTACATAGTGTGTGCTGCTTTGCCTACTTTCATACTTCTGTATGCAAATAAGCACTGTTAGGATTTACTAAACTCTTAGAATTTCAGATTAATGCCATGCGTGGCAGGTTTCGGAATATTTGATGCACACTGATATGGAAATGTGGGTGATTGTCAATATCATGGTCTTTTCCAAATGATTTTGCACCTTAGTTTACATTAACGCTCTAGGAATGCACTCACGACAGCACAACAGTAAGTTGCTCGGTTATGTTTCTGCAGCGCTGTGCATGATAGTGACATTTCTTCGCTCTAAAATGCTGTTCCACATCATAGCATTCAACATACATTACCAAGTAGCAACCTCATTTTTGGTATGGACAGAAAAATTGCTTATTACAAACTTGGCACATCGAGCGTGGTTAGGATGTGCTGTTTGTTTTATTCAAAACAGAACATAAAAGTATGCTGTCCATGTTCCCGACGGCTTTTCCTTTGGCTTAGGAGGTAAATGCTCAATTCTCCCTGTTACACAGGTTAATCCTCCATCACACCAACATGTAGGAGCATGTGAACATATGTTCCTACATCCTCAGAGACGCATTAATATTTATGACTATAATACAGTGCTCTTAAAAATAAAGGTGCTTCACGATGCCATAGAAGAACCTTTTTGTCTAAATGGTTCCATAAAGAACCTTTAACATCTGAAGAACCTTTCTATTTCACAAAAGGTTCTTTGTGGCGAAAGAAGGTTCTTCAGATTATAAAAAGGTAAGAAAGAGATGGTTCTTTAAAGAACCTTTGACTGAATGGTTCTTTGTGGAACCAAAAATGGTTCTTCTATGGCATCGCTTGAAGAACCTTTTGAAGCACCTTTATTTTT